CTGCTACAGGAGACTCTGCCTTAAAACAACAACAAAAAAAAAAAGCAGTCAGGTAGTGGTGGTGCACACCTTTAATCCCAGAACTCAGGAGGCAGAGGCAGGCAGATCTCTGTGAGTTTGAGCCCAGCCTGGTCTACACAGCAAGTCCCAGGGCAGCCAATGCTATACAGAGAAACCCTGTCTCAAAAACAAAAACAAAGCAGCCAGGCAGTGGTGGTACAGGCCTTTAATCCTAACACTTGGGAGAGCTCTCAGTTTGAGGCCAGCCTGGCCTACATAGTGAGATCTGGGACAGCTGGAGCTAGTGAGACCAACTTGAAAACAAATCTTAAATAAATAAATCAATCAGGTGTTGGCAATTGAAACAAACAATAACAAAGGGTTGGGAGATCACTCAGTTGGTAAAGTGTCTGCCTCATAAACAAAGGACCTGAGTTTGATTCCTAGCACCCATATAAAAAGCACATGTGCTTACACTACCAGTGCTGAGGAGGTGAAGGCAGGTACATCCCTAGGGCTTGCTGGCAGCAATCCTGGCCTAATTAGTGAACTCAGGTCTAGTAAGAGAGATTATCTCAAAAAAACAAACAAACAAACAAACAAACCCCACAAGGGCTAGCCAGGCATGGTGGTGCACACCTTTAATCCCAGAACCCAGGAGGCAGAGAAAGGCAGATCTCTGAGTTTGAAGCCAGCCTGTCTACATAGAGAGTTCCAGGACAATTAGGGCTGACACACAGAAAAACCCTGTCTTGGAAAAAGAAAAGAAGAAAAAACAAAAAACAAAACCACAGGGGGAAATAACACGTGAGATTGTCTCTAGCCTCCTATAAATACATACACAAACACACCATCTGAATCAGACAGTGACAAGTTGGTAAGTAAATAAAAGGCAGGCCAGTAAATACCACACTAGGATAAGGGCCACTATCTGTCCAAGTGGAGGCAAGAGAGAACTGAGTCAGCTCAGGGCAAAGCCTGGGAATACCCTTCCAGAAAGAGTGGGCCCGTCAACCCAAAGCAGGCAGGTAGTGAGTGATCCATGTCTAGAAGGGACCAAACACTAGAGCCTGAGTTACCAGGACACAGCTTACCAAGTCAGGCTGCCGTAGGCCAAAGGACACCCTGGCTAATGGCTGCAGGGTGGGTGTTGAGAGGGAAGCACTACAGTCAGAGGGCCCACTCGACTATGAGTGACAACAGGGACTGCGGAAGGGATGGGCCCGGGAGCACCTGGCAGTCATCTGGACAGACATGAATATGGGAGCCAAGGAGGATAGAAAGATGTCTACCCTTGCTAGCTCTACCAGAAAGAGGTAGTAGCAATCAGGGGCTAGGACATCAGTAACAGACAGTAAGCAACAGGAATTAGCACTCTTGTGACAGCAAAAGAAACAAGAGAAAACAAAGCTTGGGAAACCAGAGTTAGAGGCTGGAAGGGGAGCAGAGCAGAAATATAGCACATGTACTTAGCTAGTCAAACGGGAGGAACTAGTGAGAGGGTGTGATCACGGCTGCCGGGTGCTGCTGGGAAAAAGTCTCATGGGGTCTTCTAGGCCCCACACTTGGAAGGTGAAGGGCGCATCTTGGCACTGGCTACCCTGGCTAGGTCTGTACTTCCTAGGCTTTAATCATGAGACTCAAGGGCACAGACTGCATACACAATCATCTTCCTGGCTCTGAGGCAATAACGGCCACTTTGCAGAGTGAGCCACAGTGCAGCTTGGCTATTAGCCTCTACAATAGGGTATAAGGAAGGACATCACAATCCTGAAGAACCTACCTGATGATTACGCAGTCTAGAAAGTCAGTCAGCCGGCCACTCTGGGTGATGTAGGAAAAGTCTGGGAATCGCCTCTGATGAGACAAGAGAAGAGTTGGAACACAGCAGGCTACCCAGGGTCTCCACAAAGCAGGAGTGATGCACCCCAGGGAGTGACCCCAGCAAACCCTTACATCAGTGGGTTTACTACTGGCTATTTGTAACCTTGTGGAAAGGTCAAGCTACTAGATGACCTCACAAACAAATAGCAAGTAGTTAAGCCCAAAAGGTCCAATCATCACCAGCCTCGAGGAACCTCAAGAGGCTCAACTCAGCTGGCCCTACTTTTCAAGCATCATGTGACAGGGTCACCTGTCCCCACCCAGCATAGGTATATCTGTCCAGCAATGCCCCCACTGCCCACCTGCTCCATTTGTCCCCACTCTAAGGTCCCAGGAGTCACACGGCTAGCTAGAACATGACTAGAAAGTAGGTTGTGGCCCTTGCTGCCCTCCGAACCCCCCAAAGTACTCACATCATCATTGTAGCCCATGTGCATCCCACAGTCCAACATGACATTCTTGCCGGAAATGGAGACCAAGATGCAGCTGCGGCCCACATCCTGGCCAGCCCCTGCTCAAGAAGGGCAGGTGAGAGACAAGGCCAATGTCCCTCTCTCTTTTTCCCCAAGTTTCCTTCCCACACTATTGAAAGGACTGACCCCAACTGAACTCTGCAGGCCCTAGATACATGGAAACAGGCCCTTTCTCACGCAGGTACGGGGACCGTACAGTGGGGAGATACTCCCTTCACCACACTTTTCTGCACAGCTCAAAGCTCTAACAAACCACTAGCAGAACAGTAAGCACTGGCTGTGGTCCCCAACACTGAACAGAAGCAGCCACTACTCTGCGGAATATCACCGCTGTTTCCCCAGACCTTAGTCCAGGCTGCAAATCAATGAGACTTTCTTCTCTTGCATTTCTTCCTGAAGAGGCTGAGGCCTGGATCCTGAGTTTTAGTGTTGCATGGGGCCATACCCATAGGGCCTCAGTCCAGTCATAAAGAATCATGACTCTGACCAATAACTGGCCCCGGCACAGACAGCCCACTTTAGTCAGTGGGTAGCATAGGCCCCACACCACTGATCCCCTAGCTCAGCCTCAATGGGAGTTCCTCCCATGGTCTTGATGACTAAGTAACCTTCCCAACCATTCAGCCCACGATCCTGACCACACTGGACACAGCTATCTCCCCCACTTAGTTGTTATCTCCCTCGAATCTGGGTTCATAAGGAAAGATAAGATCCAAGTCTCAATAGGGGTCTGAGAACAACCAATAGTCTTGTTCCCATCTTGGATCCTAGAGTCTCCATCTGCAGACTTCAGGCACCAAGCACTATCAGTACCACAAACATCAGCCATGGTCCAGTCTGTTTTCCTTTTGTAGCCAGCCACAATGAGGCTGGGGAGGAGTTGGTCTCAGGTTCTCCTGCAGGCCCATTCCTACCTCTTCAAGATGTGTAACCCCTGAGGGAAAGATCTCCCCCCCCCCCCACCTCCAAGACAGGGTTTCTCTGTAGCTTTGGAGCCTGTCCTGGAACTAGCTCTTATAGACCAGGTTGGTGTCAAACTCAGAGAGATCCGCCTGTCTCTGCCTCCCGAGTGCTGTGATTAAAGGCGTGCGCCACCACCGCCCTGCTGAGGGAAAGATCTTAGGGTCCCTCCCCTTAATACCTCCAGCCCTGAAGTTGTCCTAGGCCCTGAGGCCCTTGAAACATTTATAGCAGGGGAATGGCTGCCCCCTTACAGGGAAAACCTGACACCACAGGAATCCACAGTCACACAAAGAATGCTGCCAGAATATGCTTTTTGGAATTATAAAGCCCGGTTCTTGGGCATTGGCAAATGTTCTTCCCAAAGCGACTTATGATTCCAGGAAAGAACAGACGCCTATACTGCAGAGATGTCAGGCATCGGAAGAGACAAAACTGAGAAGAAAACAACGGATATTACCTTGTCCGTACATCTCTGCACAGTGCAGACTTACATCCTAGGGGAACGAGGCAATTAAGCATGGAGTATTTTAGGTGGAGATTAAACAACTATGCCAAAAATGTCTTAACTGTGGCAGGAAACAAAATAAAAATTTCCCAGTGGGGGGCAGGAGTCAGGGAGCCGGGTCTATGAATATGCTTGATCTTGTCTGATCATGTAATCTAGTTAGTACTTAGATGGGATGGGGTAGTCAGGATGAGACGTTGGTCCTGATGAGGTCCTAATGATGCAGCGAATTGGGGAGACGAAGTTCTAACCAAGATGACCTAGGGATATGGATCATAGAATGAGCAGGTGCTTCCAGCACCCTGGCAACACATGCATAAAGAAAAGCCCAGGGACATTCAGGGAGGTTCTGGAATCCCAGATTTCAAATGGTTGTTTCCTCTTACACATCATACGTTGCTGTTAAGACTTTTAGGAGCCTAGGTTTTTATTTTCTACGATGAACAAACATACTTTCTAAAATTCGGGATAAACCAGACACAAAGACTGAACTGAAGGGTGATAGCAAGCAACCTGGGCACCATAAGCAGGTAGGAGAGGTGAAAAGAAAATCAAAAGTGAGAAGAAGCCCGAGCGCAGGAGTCTTGAAGCAGCAATACACACGCAGAACAGAAAAATCTCCGGACGAGTTCTGGGGCTGAATTTAACACCACTGACAAGCTAAATACAAAGGCAATCAATGCCTGCCCGAGACCCATTTCACCTCACAGCCACCTTGAGCTTCAGGGTCTCCTTTACGTCTCGCCGCTAGAAGCCTAAGTCAGAAGCTGGGCCTCCGTAATTAATATCGGACCCTAGGACCAGGAATCAACCCCATCTCTCCAACCCCGAGACAGGCAGACATTGGGCGCACAGCTGATGGAGGGCTGATGGCTGGCTGTATTGCTAGACTGCTATGTGGGGACCGGCCCGACTCGCCGGACGCCGCAGAAAACGATCAGACCTGGACTCACCCAAGGGCGTGACTCTTATTTCAGGCATCGTTCCCACAGCCCGCGTGCACCGCCCGCAGGGAGGCCTTAGAGCTCCGCGAGCGCGGCTCGGCGTCCACAACAGGCAGCCGAGACTCCCACACTCACACTGCGCAGGTGCAACCGCCAAGACGCCGACTTCCTGTCCTCGCGCCGGAAACGCGGGCCGGTCCGTCGGGTTCTAATTGGACGACCAGCAACCAATTGGGATGGCGCGGCAGCGAAGGGCGGGGTAGGGGCTGAGCCCCTGGGGCTGCAACTCAGGACTTGTGCCCAACCGCAGTCTTCGAGCTGCCTCCTAACAGGCTGCGGGCGTGGGACAAGCATGGGGACGCCTACCTGACAAGATCCAGGCCGCGGAGTGCATCTCCATAGACAGCCGGAAGGGACGCTCAAAGACTTGGCTCCCACAGCAGCCTCATTGTAGCTTTCGTCAACCCTTTCCATCACCGGCCTCGGTCCCCCGCCACAGGAACCCGACCCAGGTGAGATTTGCGGGCCTCTCTGAACGGCCCTAGCTCCCTACTACTCCTGGGTGTGTTTGCTGTGTGCTTGTTTATGGGGCCTCCAGCCGGGCTATCCACCCTGTCTAGCTTAGATGTGCCCTGCTTCACCTTCCGGAAACTGATGAGTCTCCCTCCCTTCCTGTTCTTTCCAATGTACCACGGACAGCTCTAAGGGGCTACCTGGCTTCTGATATAGGCTCTGGGCAAGAAGGCCTGGCTGTAGGATTGTTAGATGACCAAGAGATGAACTGTAGGGCGCCTCAGAGACTGTCTGCTCAGTGGGCAGTGCAGACGCTAAGAGAGGAGTGTGTGGCAAGACTCTGGCTGTCGCCATCTTTCTAAGGCTGTCCCTGACACCTGAACACAAGGTGAGTCCATTTCCGGGCTCAGGGTCTGGAACTTGTGCCGGGCATCCAGTCCAACCCATGGGGCCATATCACCGCTCTGACAGCCTCGCTCATGGACCGGGAGACATGCAGACCACATTCCCAGAACTGAAGGACTGAGTCATAGGACTGTGAAGGAAAAAAAAAACAAAACTTGCACACAGATACCCCTGATAAGGATGGGAGTTTTTTGCTTTGTTTTGTTTGCGGGGAGTGGGGGGCTGATGGTACAGCGGTTAGGACAGGGATCCAGCACTAAGAGACACAGGAACCGCCAGAACTGGTGGTGAGTATTCATGCAGGACGTAGGTGAGATGCGACCATGTCTCACAGGGCTGGTCCTGGACACCAAGACAAGGTTCTTAGGGTACGAGGGAAGGTGGAGGGTGGATGCTTGGAGTTATCCATTCAAAGTATGAGCACAAAAGGAGCATGGGGCACAGGCTTGTAGTTCTAGCTACTCAGGAAGCAGGAAGATTGAAAGTTAAAGGCCTAGTCAGGTGTGGTAACACATGCTTTTAATCCCAGCACTTGGGAGGCAGAAGCAGGCAGATCTGGATTCAAGGCCAGCCTGATCTACACAGTGAGGTCCAGGACAGCCAGGCTAAAATAAAATAAAAGATTAAAAAAAGAAAGTTAAAGGCTTGCTTGCTTAGGTTATTCCCTGCCCAGCATACAAGAAGCTCTTAAGCTCAGTCCCCACACCTGAAGATAAATGTGGGAACTATAATGTTTGTGGGGTGACTATAAAAATGCCTGCAGAATCCAGAGCCCCGCCTTACCTTAAGGCCTCTGTCCTGGATCCCTTTCAGAATGTTCTCTGAAGCTGGTGGGAGGACTGAGAGCAATCCTCAGGTGTGGTAAGACCTTTGCCTGAGCTACCCTGTTGTTTAGGGATTGCATACCATTTCAAGAGCAGGAGCGTCCATCTGTCTGTCTAGCAGATGCCAGCCCACAGCCTCCACTTTAATTTGGGGACTAAAACCTTGATCAAGGAAGGGAAAGCCCTGTTCAGTCACCCTTCCCACTCTCCACGGGGAAGAATCGCTTGCTTTTTTGGAGTCCCAGTTTTTGTTTTGGTACAACTTCCCATCAGAATGCTGCCCTGATATGGTGAAGTCCAGGTGTGGCCAGGAGGACTATGCCTACCTTTTGGAAACATTCCTCTAATGTGTGGAACAGGTGCTCTAGGAAGAGAAGAAACAGAAAAGCAAGAAGCAGTAGGAGCTGCAAACAGTGTGGCCATGGAGTCTCAGGTCAGGAACTGACCAAATTACTAGCTGAAGGGCAAAGAACAGCTATGTCAAGATCTGTGGGTACAGGATCCATCAAGGGCACAACAAGGTCAGATTGGCTTACAGGAGAGCTTTCAGCTCCTGAGGAAGGCACTCAGGTAAAGGGGTGATTCTCAGCAAGCCGTTTCAGCACCTCACTTCTTTCAAGTCTTCCCAACCCCTTCTTGAGAAAATGAGCCACGCTGAGATAAGCCAGCATGATGACTACACATTCTGTGTAAAACTATTTCAGCTCAATAGAAGATGGGTGACCCAGAGTCAGATTTCAACCTCAAAGTCGTCCTGGTCAGCTTCAAGCAGTGTCTTACTGAAGATGGACAAGTGCTGCTGGACCATTACATCACCAGCTGGAAGGGGCTAGTCAGGTGCGTTTCCACGTGGAACCCCTGCATCCCACAGGGCACAGGGACGTGGGCACAGTTAGCAGACAGTTTCCATAGCCTTCCTGCCCCGGCCTCCAGACACATCCAAGGTAAGGTCTCCTGTACTACAGGCTGGCTGGCCCTCTAGGTAGGGCCTCACACTTATACTTCCTTGCACAGGTTTCTGAACAACCTGGGTGCCGTCTTCTCATTCATCTCCAAGGACGTGGTCTCAAAGCTGCAGATAATGGAAGGTCTGAGGAACAGCCCACAGTGTGAGCACTACACCAGCTTACAGTCCATGGTCGCCTACGAGGTGGGCAACAAGCTGGTAGACATAGATCGCCGCTCACGGCCCCGATACCCTAACTCGGGCTGCCGGACTGTGCTGCGCCTGCACCGTGCTCTGCGCTGGCTGCAGCTGTTCCTCGAAGGCCTGCGCACCAGCCCCGATGATGCTCGTACCTCCACACTCTGCAGTGATGCCTATAACACCACATTGGCTGCCTATCACTCGTGGATCGTACGTCAAGCTGTCACTGTGGCTTTCTGCGCCCTGCCCACACGCAAGGTCTTCCTCGAGGCCATGAATGTGGGCTCCTCTGAGCAAGCAGTGGAGATGCTGGGAGAGGCCCTACCCTTCATTGAGAATGTGTATGACATCTCCCAGAAGCTCTACGCTGAGCACTCCCTGCTAGACCTGCCCTAAGGGTGCTTCCCCTACTCAGAACTGGGCTTGGGCAACCTGGGGCCTCTCCCACAGCAGTGCTTTCTGGATGCTGCTATCCCCCTGAAAGCTGGGCTTGTCGAGGGCCACGGGCTGTGAAGAGAAAGGCAGCGGCAGCTGAGCCAAATGAGGTGGGTGGTAGCTGTGCTCTTGGTCCAGGACAAGACCATTGAACTCCATTTTCGTCCTCTGCTTCAGTTATGTGTGTGTTCAGTCAGGCCTCATTGAAGTTGGATGACCCATGGAGATGATGGGGGAGGAGGGCCGTGTTCTACCTCCTATGTGTGGGATTTGGAGGTTCTGTCTCCCCCACAGTCAATATGCCCGACTGGTGCGTATCCTACCTAAGACATGGCATTCATGCCAGACACACAGCCCTGGGCCTGCATGCCTGGGTCCCCTTCATATTCCAGAAGCTGTCCTTGGGTAAGATGAGGCTCCTTTGGCAGTGACGTGAATACCAAAGACCCCTTTCCTTGCCGTTCACCTGCCTCCTTGTTAGCCTCTCTGCGTATTAAACAGGCCCTTGTCTCCTTGGACATGGAAACAATTTAAACTGCTAGCTGAGACTTCCCCAGGAAAGCGTGCTCCTGTCAGTGCAGCCTGCTTCACAGCTTCTGCAATAAGTATCAGCCTTCAGAAGGTGGCCTCCCCCAAGACTCTAAAATAAAATGTCAGTACAAATTGGCCAAACCACACCGCTCTCTAGCCAGCTTGCTGCTCCCGTCACCATGGTACTCAGGTGACTTAGATAGGACATGACTTGTAGAAGGGGCTAGGCCCCCTTGTCTAGCTGACAGATGGCCATACCCAGCATGGTTGACACCCAGTGCATAATACCCTAACCTCTCTCTCCCACTGGGTCTTAATGTTAAACCCTAGGATAGTGTCCCCAGTGTAGGTGAAGTCTATAAATGCAAACTTTAGTACCTATCCCTTTCCTCAAGAACTATGATATATGTAGTACTTACAACATAAATAAATTACACCTACATGATTGGGTATGGCATTCTAGGATGGGTCACAGGTGTGCCAGGTGCCTGATTACATGGGGAAGAACCTAAAAGTACCTACCCATACGGGTGGGGAGGGAGTTAACCCTAGGGACCAGATGGACTGAGGGCTCAAAGGGCAATGTGAACCAGGAAAGCATGGAACATGTCTAGCCAGCAGCCAGAACCACAGAAACTGCCATGCATTTGTCCTTGGTGTATCATAGCTTGATCACACACATACGCTGAGATCTGTATTATCTCCATTTTACAGGCAAGAACAGAAACACTTGGGTCATTCACCTTGAGGGGCTAGACTGAGAAAGGTCTGTGTGACAAAGCTGGAGAAAACTAGAGCTACTTTCTACACGATAGCCACCTAAATAGCGGGTACATGATGAGTGGTGTCTTCCTGGTACTCCACCGTACCCAACTCATCTGCTTAGGCTGTGTGTTTTCCAGCTATGTCTAAGAACCTGAGACCACACAGTGCTAGCCAAAGCTGATGACTTCCAGAGACTGAGGCTGGAGAGGTGGCTCAGTGGTTAAGAGCACTGGCTGCTCTTCCAGAGGACCTGTGTTCATCTCCCAGCACCCACATGGCAGCTCATAGCTGTCTGCAATTACAGTTTCAGGGGATTCAGCACCCTCACACAGACGCATATGTAGGTAAACACCAATGCAAATGAATCATCAAAAAGATTTCAAGAGACTGGCCAGAAAAGAAGGATATAATAGCAGATATATGTGTCACATACAGATTCATAGTGTACATGTGCTTTGTAGACATCCTCACAGGGCAGCAGGGAAATGCAAAGGTAATTTCCATAACATCTGCTGGATGCCGTACGACATTGAGATTACCCAGGCACCTATTCAAACAAGAGTCAACAGCCTCCCCCATGTTCGGATGCCGGAAACCTGCTGTGTTAGCAATAGCTCCCTCACACCCAGACTAAGTGGGGATATCTTAGCTAGGGTTACTATTCTGGGATGAAACACTATGACCAAGGCAACTTGGGGAGGAAAGGGTTTATTTAAAAGGCTTACACTTCACTTTCACCTCACCATTCATCGAAGGAAGTCAGGGTAGGAACCTGGAGACAGAAACTGATGCAGGGGCCATGGAGGGGTGCTGTTTACTGGCTTGCTCAGCCTTCTTTCTTAAAGAATCCAGGACCACCAGCCCAAGGATGACACCACCTACAGTGAGCTGGTCCTCCCCCCAACAATTGCTAATTGAGAAAATGCTCTCCAGCCAGATTATATGGAGGAATTGACGCTCCTTCCTTTCAGCTTGTGTCAAACTGACATAAAACTAGCCAGAACAAGGGAAGCGTCTAAGAAGGACCCACTGACTGCATACAGACACACACCTGGCCCTAGCAGCTGCAGGAACCTATTTGTTTATGGCCTCTCCTCATTTTCATGGGCCAGCTGTGAGCACTCTGCTGCGGGAGGTATCTACATGCCTGCCAAAGCAGGAGTGCTTACTCCTAGGATCAGCAGAAAGGGCGAGGGTCTCTACAGCTCTCAGAACCCCAGCAGGAAAGCTGGGACCCCCAGTGAGTCTGCCCCAGGACCGAGGCAGGTTAGTACACCCAGGAAACTCAGCTCCAGCTCTCCCTACCCCACCTGAAGGTTGGGGCCCTGGCTAACCAGCTGTCTACTGTCGTTGTTGAGGGACTTCCTCTGCAGCCCCTGCCTATTGACAGTACTGCCTCAAATCAGAAGCCAGAAGATAAAAAGTGTCTCTGTGCCTACAAATATAAGCCTAGTGCCACCCTTATTCCAGTCAAGGGAAACCCTGGGACCCTGAATGCTTGCTTCTCCACCTTCCCCTTTACAGTCTGTGCGGCTGCTCTAGGAAAGAAGGGCACCGAGGGGCTTGGGCATAGGCAAGTGACAAGAGCACAGTCGGTGGTCACAGTTGGCATGCTGGGGCTCTCTTGGACAGACAGCGCATTAACGCTATGAAGATGAGTCCAGTATGCACAAACTATCAGGTCTGAGCTATTGAGCATATCACCGGAGCCCCTTGGGGGCTTGGCAGCCAAGCACAGAAGTTTTGCTAAACAAATTCTCTGCTCTCTCCCCCTGGACTCAGTATATCTGGGGCTCCAGCACACCCTACAGTCTCTACTGGAAGTCTCTACCTACCATGCCACACCTGGTTGTTCTGTGCCTCAGCCTGGCTGCTCTCCCGGGCCTTGGGATGGGGGCCTCCTTGTGCTTGGCACAGCAATTCAAAGCTAAAGGGGACTACATACTTGGTGGGCTATTTCCCCTGGGCTTAACTGAGGAGGACACACTCCACCAGAGAACACAACCCAATAGCATCTTGTGCACCAGGTATGGAGGCTAGTAGCTGAGGTGGGGGTGGGCTTAAGGCTTGGCAGCCATGGGTCTGTGGTACTCCCAAGCTGGGGGTAAGGTGGTGAGCACCTGCAATCCCATGTGGCTTCAGGTTCTCACCCCTTGGTCTGTTTCTGGTCATGGCTATGAAGATGGCTGTGGAGGAGATCAACAATGGATCTGCCTTGCTCCCTGGGTTGCGCCTGGGTTATGACCTATTTGACACATGCTCGGAGCCGGTAGTCACCATGAAGCCCAGTCTCATGTTCATGGCAAAGGTGGGCAGTCACAGCATCGCTGCCTACTGCAACTACACACAGTACCAGCCGCGTGTGCTGGCTGTCATTGGGCCCCACTCGTCAGAGCTTGCCCTGATTACAGGCAAGTTCTTCAGCTTCTTCCTCATGCCACAGGTGAGCCCACACCCTTTGCCTCCCCTCAGCCAACTGTGTCCTTGAGCTCTCACAGCAGGAGGTGCTTCTCCATCACCACAGGTCAGCTACAGCGCCAGCATGGATCGGCTCAGTGACCGGGAAACATTCCCATCCTTCTTCCGCACAGTGCCCAATGACCGTGTGCAGCTGCAGGCTGTTGTGGCTCTGCTGCTGAATTTCAGCTGGAACTGGGTGGCTGCCTTAGGTAGTGATGATGACTATGGTCGGGAAGGCCTGAGCATCTTCTCTAGCCTGGCCAATCCACGAGGTATCTGTATCGCCCACGAGGGCCTGGTGCCACTGCACGCCACCAGTGATCAACAGCTGGGCAAGGTGTTTGATGTACTACAACAAGTGAACCAAAGCAACGTGCAAGTGGTGGTGCTGTTTGCCTCCCCCCGTGCTGTCTACTCCCTTTTTAGCTATGGCATCCGTCAGGGCCTCTCACCCAAGGTATGGGTGGCTAGTGAGTCCTGGCTGACCTCTGACATGGTCACGACACTACCCAATGTTGCCCATGTGGGCACTGTGCTTGGGTTTCTGCAGCGAGGTGCCGAGCTGCCGGAATTCTCCCATTATGTGGAGACCCACCTTGCCCTGGCTGCCGACCCAACATTCTGTGCCTCACTGAATGCTGAACTGGACCTGGAGGAGGGGGTGATGGGACAACGCTGTCCACAGTGTGACCACGTCATGCTGCAGAACTTGACATCTGGACTGCTGCAGAACCTATCAGCAGGGCAGTTGCACCACCAGATTTTTGCAACCTATGCAGCTGTGTACAGTGTGGCCCAGGCTCTTCACAACACCCTACAGTGCAATGCCTCAAGTTGCCCCGCATCAGAGCCTGTTCAACCCTGGCAGGTGAGGGTAGGGTTTTTGCTGGGTCTATGTCTGCTCATTCAGGAATACTGAACCAACAGGCAGAGAGAGCTAAATCCTGTCTTAACTGGAGAGGCTCATGGGTCAGCCTTACCCCCACCCCAACCCACAGCTCCTGGAGAACATGTACAACATGAGTTTCCGTGCTCGGAACCTGACACTGCAGTTTGACGATAAAGGGAACGTAGACATGGAGTATGACCTGAAGATGTGGGTGTGGCAGAGCCCTACACCTGTGCTGCACACTGTGGGAACCTTCAATGGCACCCTTCAGCTGCAGCACTCCGAGATGTACTGGCCAGGGAACCAGGTAAGGACAAGACAGGAGGAAGCCATGGTGGGTAAAGGCTTGGGGTTGTCTGTGCTAGCCAAGGGAGCCTAACCCAAAGCTCCATGTCCAGGTGCCAGTGTCCCAGTGCTCCCGGCAGTGCAAAGAAGGCCAGGTGCGCAGAGTAAAGGGCTTCCATTCCTGCTGCTATGATTGTGAGGACTGCAAAGCAGGCAGCTACCAGAAGCATCCAGGTGAGCCTCCTTCCCTAGACAGTCCGCACAGCTGAGCTGGGGGCAGAGGCCTGGCAAGGGCCTCCCCTCCAGGCTAATGCTGAAGGCAAGCGCCTGTCGGGGGCTGAGCTGGGGAATTCTGTCTCCCATTACCAGACCCTACGTTGCTTTTTTTCTTTCTTTTACTATAGATGACTTCGCCTGTACTCCATGTAATCAGGATGAGTGGTCCCCAGAGAAAAGCACAGGCTGCTTACCTCGTAGGCCTAAATTCCTGGCTTGGGGAGAACCAACTGTGTTGTTACTACTCCTGCTGCTTTGCCTGGTGCTAGGCCTAGCACTCGCCTCCCTGGGGCTCTTCATCCACCACTGGGACAGCCCTCTTGTTCAGGCCTCAGGTGGGTCACGGTTCTGCTTTGGCCTGGTCTGCCTAGGCCTCTTCTGCCTCAGTGTCCTTCTATTCCCAGGACGGCCAAGCCCTGCCAGCTGCCTTGCTCAACAGCCACTGGCTCACCTTCCTCTCACAGGCTGCCTAAGCACACTTTTCCTGCAAGCAGCGGAGATCTTTGTGGAATCTGAGCTGCCACTGAGCTGGGCAAACTGGCTATGCAGCTGCCTTCGGGGACCCTGGGCTTGGCTGGTGGTACTGCTGGCCATTCTTGTGGAGGCAGCACTATGTGCCTGGTACCTGACATCTTTCCCACCAGAGATGGTGACAGACTGGGTGGTGCTGCCCACAGAGGTTCTGGAGCATTGCCGCATGCGTTCCTGGGTCAGCCTAGGCTTGGTACACATCACCAATGCAATGCTGGCCTTCCTCTGCTTCCTGGGCACTTTCTTAGTACAGAGCCAGCCTGGCCGCTACAACCGTGCCCGTGGTCTCACCTTCGCCATGCTAGCTTATTTCATCATCTGGGTCTCTTTTGTGCCCCTCCTGGCCAATGTGCAGGTGACTTATCAGCCAGCTGTGCAGATGGGTGCCATTCTGTTCTGTGCCCTGGGCATCCTGGCCACCTTCCACCTACCCAAATGTTATGTGCTTCTGTGGCTGCCAAAGCTCAACACCCAGGAGTTCTTCCTGGGAGGAGGCCCCAAGGAGGCAGCAGATGGGAGCAACAGTGGGGGTGACAGTTCAGGGGCACAGTGAGTGAACCCTGACCCAGTGACCTCTCCTTTAGTGAGCCCAGCCGACAACCCCCAGATAGTACCTCAACCTGAGACTTGAGCCGCTTAACTACAGACTGACTCCAAGTCATCCACTGACCTTAGTCCCTCAGTGACCCCCCTCAGACCTGCAGTGTGCAAGATGGATCCTATAATCCCACCTGTTCCCCAAAGGCAAGATCATCCTTGATCCTGTTACGCCCTACCTAAGGCCTGCCCAGGTGACTGAGATCCATTATCTTAGAAGCAGCCCACAGAGTGTTCTTTGGGACTCCATAGCCATATCTTGAATTTAAAAATAACCCAAGCAGACCCTGGGAGGCAAGAACATACTGCTTTCTTGAACATGCCCAGCCTAGGGCCCTCAGCACCTTGATCAGGCATCCTGGAAACAGAAGGCTGGGCATATGTAATGTGCTGGAACAAAACAAGAAAGCCAGCAGGCAGAGGGCACTCAAGAGGTAGGCAGACAACATCCAGCCTCCTCTTCCCTTCCTGATCTAGACCTAAGCTGGTAGGAAAGAACCAAGTCACTACTAGCACCTTGGACAGAGCATAAGCAAGGGTCAGGGTCAGCACCATGGCCAGCACCAGCCACCCAGGACCCCTGGAGTCCTCCTGGTACCAAGGACAGAAAAGTTGCCTCCAAGACCCCTGTTACTGGCCAGCACCAGGGACAGAGTCACATGACCAAGTGGGAAGAGACTCCAGGCAGGCTCAGACCTGGGTCAGTTCTGGACTGGCCCCGACACCTGAATACGGAAGCAGCTTAGCTGGAGAAAAGAGAAGCAGGCCACACATTAATCCCATAAAATTAAACGCTTTTTAGTGTTTAAAATAGCATTTACACAGAAGCAGCATTTACACAAAAGCAGCATTTACACGTGAACTACCCAGCTGCTCAGACTTCGACACGGTATCTACAGTGCAGATGTGTGGGGCTACCATGCCAAGATGGCAGTGGCACATGCTGGTGGACAGCCACCAGGGTAGCAATGACAGGACAGGACCCCATCTCTGTAGCTATTGTGTGCGCTATCACCGTGTAAAGGTGCCTGGCCTCCTGTACTAAGCATCCTCCACATACTCCCAGTACAAACTGTTGTCATGGGCTGAGTACCAAGCGGGGGGAAAGGGACATGCACCTGCCCCCGTTGGGTAACCAGCTGCCACCCTCAGAGCAGGCAGGCTAGCAATAAATAAATAAGTTAGACCCCACGTAGGCAGCCAGAGAGGTTTAAAGGCTCTGTCTAACCCCTCAAGAACCCTACCTTGGCCTGACAGATGAGGCCCATGAACTCAGTGAGAGTCAGTCTGGGCCACTGTGCACAGTTCTGGGAGAATTGGGGGGGGGGGGGGGCTGTGCACAGAGCCCAAGAGAGTCTTTCTTATCCTAAATGGAGGTCATTTCCAAAAAAGGAACCAGGAGGTGGTCCCTGAGACTTGTGCTGAGGACCTAAAGACAGACATCTCCTCACAAGACTACTTGAGCTGTACCACACAGCAGGCAGGATGCCAAGTCCATATCCTAGTATGGCTGCTGCTCTCAGCCCTTCCTCTGCAGCCTGCTCCCTCTGCCCTGGCCCAGACCCCGCAGCTGATCTATCCTTGCTGGCCACCACTAAGGCAAGTCCACAGAGATCCTGGCACAGCAGGACCACAGACTCTTGCCACAGGCAGCACTGAAAACTCTGGTTGATGGTCACATAATGTCCACAAAGAACTCACAGGGGTTTCCCATGGCCTTTTGGAAGGACTGGCGGCTACCTGTAAGTTCTGGAGGAACAGCAGCCAGCTCCCGGACAGGTGGCCCTCCAGGTGGCCCGCCCACTACTGCATAGGCCTTTGTCAGGGGGTGAAGTGGGGGGAGCCCTGGGGCAACAGCTGAGGCCTGACTTCTAGGGCTACTGCCACGGCTAAGCTGGCTGACAGGACGCTCCCACCAGCCAGTGCTACCAGACCCACTTGGTGCTGTGTGATCTGATTCGCTGCCGCTGCCCCCAGCTCCGGCTGCCCGGCGCTCCTCTCGGCCTGGGGTCCGATGGCTGCTCCTTGTGGACCCACTGCTCTTGCTTCCTGGGAGAAGGGAAGGGACCACAGAGTCAGCACCAGGCCTGGCCATTTCCAGGACCACCAGCTGCTCCCAGACAGCCAGGGCAGAACCTGGTAAGCCTGGGGTAGTAGGGGAATGGCAGCCATGCAGATACCAGGAGCAGATGAGAGGCAAGGAGCTAGGGGCAGTTGCAGACAGGAGGGATAATGAGGGCCAGCTTGGCACCCCAAACCTAACCCCAATGCTTGAACCAAGGTTGATTTTGATGTTACAACTGAGAAACTGAGACACCACTGAAGGCCCTGTGTGCCCAGCGTTCCCATTAGCCATCCTGGGATCACCACCCGAAGACCCACTGACCACCCAACCCCAGGGCCCTGGTCAGCTAATTTTCTTAGCTTCTGTCCTGAAAGTGGTGGGAACCTGAGAACACGTGCTGGCTGGGGACATGCTGAGAGGGACACAGGGGGACCTGGCTTACCGGCCCGAGGGTCCACTCTGCTAGTCCTTCAGTCTAAGGCTTGCTCAGCACAAAGCAAGGGATAGCACAAGTCACACACCAGTCCAGTGCTCACCAATGGTCAACTAGGACTATTGTGGGCCAAGCTGAGCTTGGGTGCATGCAAGGGCCTATCCAGGGTCAGTAGTCACTCAACAGCTTCCCCTAGGGCATTGCCACCCTCCGGCCCAACCTCTCCTTTCTCCCATCCTATGTTCTCAAAGATGACTGTCTTAAGTTTTTTTCCAGACCCTGTAGAATGGCTGCTGTGCCCCCACTCTGCCTAAGGCTCTACTTCAGTGCACCTCCTCCTCAGGGACACCCACCCTCCCTAAGATGATAAACTCTCATGGCACTCTGCTGGGCTACAGGTACCACAACTGATAAAGCCCATGCCTTCCTTAGCTTGGGGCCTAAAGAGTAAGAGTAACCCTACTCGATGCCCTTGGCTACTCTCGCCCTCATTCTTGCCACATCATCTCCTGGCCTCTTGCCTCTGCCACCTGGAATACCAGGCCTGTTCCCACCAGGCAGTCTTCCTAGTCCCAAAGGCCTCTACCCACAGAACCAAAGTGAGTCCCCACACCAGCCCCCTCGCTGCCCCACACTGACTCCTGAAATGGGACCCACCAGGACCCAAACACACAGCAAGAGCACAGAGGACAGCAGCAAGGCCAGGCAGAGCCAGGGAGTGGGAGTGGAGGAGGGGCTGGCATGACTCTCACCTTCACTCTGCTGACTCCCGGCACTGCCACTGCCGTAGCTGAAGCCAGGGTCCTGGTAAGCAGGCGGGAAGCAGGGCGGGGGCCCTGGGTACTGGTAGGGGTAGCCTTGACCCAAAGGCCAGGGCACAGATGGGTGGGGCAGTGGGGCCAGTGTGTCCTGATCTGAGGCTCCACTGGAGCCACTGTTGAGGTTCAGGGATGCAAGGTCTGGCAGGAAGGGAGGGATGGGTAAGCGAGGGCAAATGGATGAGCCCCACAAAAAACCCCACCCAGTGACCCCCCTACTTACTACTGCACAGGTCCCCAAAGACATAGTAGCATTGCTCAGAGAAGGTGATCTTGTTGACCGTGTGCCGCAAGAAGCCGTGCTTCAGCATGCTGCTGGCATACTTCCTCGCCTCCCTGCGTTCTTTGAAGCCCTCCACGTGTGTGTACAGCCAGTCCACCACGTCCGCCCCTGGCCACAGGCCCATGAAAGTCAGGGTAGCTGAGTCCTGGGAAGCCTCACCAGAAAGAACAGACTGGGCCCTTCCCATACAGCCAGGGACTCACCAATGACAGCATTGGCAATAGTGATCTTAAGCCACATACGGTCCCGGATCTCCAGCCCTGAGTCCGGCAGCTGCATGACCCGGACAATGGCACTCATGTCGCTCTTCACAGTCAGTGGAGCTTCCTCCAGCTCTGCAAGGCACCGTTCTCTGAGCCCAGGCAGGCAACCAGCACGCAGGGGCTGAGCTCCGTGAGGTTGGGAGCAGGGGACAGGATCAAACATTTATCTCCCACTCTTAAGTGGTATCTCATCAAGATGTGAGCTGAAACTGGGATATTCTCCCAGTCCCACAGTCCAAGACTTCTGGGCAAGCCAGTCCCTTTCCCTCCCCCAGGGACACCTTCCTGGGGAGCTCAAGCTGTTAGTTATGTTAGGCAGCAGGAAAGCAAGGCGGAGGCTACCATGTGTCCTCCCAATCCGCAACACAGGCCTGGCGGATCCTTCAGTGCATCCAGATGGCCAGTATGGCTGGGCTATGAGATATGTACACGTATCCTGGTGTACACATTTGTGAAGGTGTTGGGGGCAGACACATTATATACAATGGGCCCCAGGAAGAGCTCTGGTGAACCCTTGTCCTTCAGCCTCAGTTTCCTGCCGGGGCTCGTGTAAGCTGCCACTTACGTGGGGCGCCAGGCACTGAGCTGGTTAGTGAGGAAGAGCTGGTGCGAGTGATGGCACTGGAGCAGGGACTCGTACCATAGCGGGGCAGAGCACCCGTCAGCGCTGCTGTGTGGGACAGCCAGGCGGCCGGGTCGATAGGTCGCACTGGGTCAGCTGCACAGTTACCGCACGGCAACAGATGACAGATGATAGAGGCAGAGAAGAAAGACCCTTCAGACTGGGCCTAGGAACCCCACCCTACCCCACCCCTCCACGGGGTCACTAACCCCTTGGGATGGTGAAGTAGCTCCGAGGGGTTGGGTCCCAGCACTTGGCCACCGTGAGGCTGATGGGCCTGTATGTAAAGTTCGGCAGATCACATGGGTGAGACCCACACAACCCCTCCCATCCCATGCCCTTCCCATCCCCACACGGATCCCCCCTCACCCCGTCTGGGATACGATCTCCCGAAGTACCCGCACAGCATCATCGTTGCTCATGTTCTCAAAGTTGACATCATTTACCTGCGGGGTTTGTGGGGTCAGGGAGT